GACTTTGGTACAGGACACCTTATTTCTGGTTCATTTTTTCTTAGCAAGACAGTATCCACTCTTTGTTCACATGTAATTGATTATTAACCATTTGGACAAGGTGCAGCTTTCCTGTGGTGTCGACATGATTTACCAGAACACAATGTATTCAAACAGCATGGACTCATAGGCCAGTAAAGTGGCTTTGCCTAGGGCCCTGAGATGCGCAAGCTGAACTACACTGGGTGGCAGTGCTGGCTATAGCATAGTGGAGGTCCTATAGTGCTCTGTCTTTATGAGCTTTCACTATTTCATCTATGATGTATGTCATTAATATAATCTGTAAACATAGAGTCAACTGAAACACAAGTAGCAACAGCAAAAGTGGTACTGAGTTAAAACTACAGCTTCATCTAATCCAGCATGTTGGGTCCAGAAGCAGCTGCCAAGGTGGGCAAGACTGAAAAACAGCATCTCCACCCTCTGGTTAGCCTAAGCGTTTCCAAGTTGCAGGTTTCTCAGTAAATTTGTTGTGATTTGCAGCTTCCATGATAGCACCTTGTATCTATTAGTAGACAATACATAAAGAGAATCTTATAGGTATCACCTGCCTACCATTATATATGGAGGGAAATACAGGGAAGGAGCATGAGAATGTCATCCCTCACCTTGTTTACCAATACCAGCCCGGACTTAATCCTGAAACCAAGAAAACTTGCATTTAGCAGGACCAGAGGGCCAGGCTTTTGGATAAGAGATTGGACACAAAGTATCTCACGAATAAAAAGATATGCAGTCTAAGTCCATGCTTAGCATTAAGATTCCTTCCCATCTGCTTGAGTTACCCCTTGTGTAGAATTTCCTTTTTTTTTTCCCTGCTCACTAGAGGTGAGGATTCAGCATCTGCAGTTACCCAAAATTTCAAGTGGCTTTAAAGTTCCAAATTACTTGTCTCCATCTCTACTCACGTATACTTCTTTGAAAGTTAGATTTTAGAGCTAGGCCCTTCATGGCTAAAATTTCATTACTGTATCTTGCATAATTATAGGATTGTGCGTTCCTCTCTCCTCCCCCTCCCCCATTTCTGGGGAAAAATGAGTTTGAATATATAGTGTATGGAAATGCCATAAATTACTCTTGCTGGGACTACCCTTTGTAGAAGGGCACTGTCATCTTTACTACTGTTGACATTACAGTCTTTGATTCATTACCAGCTTTCTATAGAAGGTCTCTATAACACAGGCTATTGAATTAGATAATAGTGTAGATTTCATCAGATCAGTCCAGAGTAGTAATGCCCTGCTTTGTTTGGACAGGTTTAGGACAGTAGCTCTTTCCCATACTATTTGATCTTGATCTTGCTGGGCTTGAATTTTTGCATAGATTTTCCATAATTACTTTTTTTTTTTAAGAAGAGTCCCTTTTAAACTTAGATTAGTTATTGGTCTCAGTAGCTTTCTATTAGGCATTCTGTTTCTAATGTGTTATAAAAGCTGTACTACTCCTAGGACCATTTGTTAAAGGGAAGCTGAATTCTGTGGGCTTGAGGGTTCATTCTGCTAGAACTAGCTTGTTCTTGTTCTGTGGTCCTCTGGGCCTGTGTCCAGAGAGCAGCAAGGCTGAAAGCATATCCTCAGTGTACACACAGAGACACAGCCAAACACCAGCAGAGAAGCACAGGTAGGAGTAGCTTTCCAGGCATCACATACTGACAAGCAGCAGTCACATCTTTGTGCTGACACATCTTGGTGGCCATCCATTGATCCACACTTAAGAAAAACTTGTTCGGGCTACATGAAATGTGTTAGTTTTTTACCAGTTAAACTGTATTTTTAAAAACTTTAATCATGTAAACAAAATACCATTTATTTTTTAAGCAGAGCCAAGTAAAGAAAACCAAGAGGCTTAAGATCTTGCTGATATCACTGTGTTTCATATTACATCAGCTGATGAGCAGGGCGCAGGTTGTGCATCACTTCCAGGCTATTATTGTAACAGCCACCTACTGACTCATGACCAGGTGTTCCTTCATACACACACACCCCACACCCCACCGACAGTTGGTCAGATGGAGCCAAAGCCTTAGGGTTGGTGGTCCACGAACTCACCCACACCCGTGAGGGAGCGAGCCGGAGCAGCAGGCACCACAGAGCTCAGCAGTGGCAGAAGGGACCGGTCCTCACTGCCACAGACAGCAGCATCATGTCAGGCAGCCTTTCCTGACAGAGGCCTAGGCACGAAATGCGTGGGCACCATAGTACATAGGTGCCTAATCAGGCCCTTGTATGGATGGAATTAGCCTCTCTGCAATTAGCATCAGTACCTGTCTTAAAGGTTGTAACACCCAATAGCACATTACAGCTTTTTTTCTCATTCATGAATTTACCTCCATCTCTTGTATGCCATTAAGCAGGATTATTTTTAAATAGATGTCAGTGATGAATATGTTCATTAAACCACTGTATCCTACGTGTGTCATCTCACCTGTTTGTCCCCATTTCCTCTCGCCCCCTACTACAGCTTTTCTGGAGCAGAAATCTCTACTCCCCTCCCTCCCCGCAAAAGTGAATCTGCTACTTCCAAGATAAAGATGGAGTTAATAGTTACTGGTTTAGGTTCTCTTCTTGCCCTTTCAGCATAGATGCCAGTTTTCTACCAAAATTACATGAGTAGCATGTGCTCATCTTGATACTCCTGAAGTGGGCATTGCTTTAGGTGATCATTAATTTCTGCACACAAAAGCAAGAAAATCCCTAGTATGTTTGCTAGGTTATAGGATGACTAGCAAGAACCAAAGTGTTGATATAGAAATTGCAGAATTCACACAGGGCAAACCACATTAACTAAAGGTTCTAAAATGTAAAGTAAACTTTATTATCCTTGAACCACAAAATAGATTTCTTTGGTTGTACAAATTTCACTAGTTACAGTCTTGATGCGCTAATTTTCCCTCAGAGTCTCTCAGGAGAGAATGGGAGAGAACCCAGAGCCTGGCACCAGGTACCGCAAAGGGAAAGAAAAAAAAGAATCACAAGTTAGTCACCAAAACCAATCCAAGATTGTTTCCAAAATTGCTGTTGTTAAAAAGCAAATGCTAAAATTAGATTTAAAAAGGAAAAGCTCAAATTGCTGATGATGGAAGCAGCCACAGCTGCATATTAAGATTATCAGAGTTCCCCCTTCAAAGCTCTGTAAAATTAAAACATACGAAGTCAGTTAAAATGATCCACTGGATTTTGGCATGAAGGGAGATTCTCAAATAAAAGAAACTGCATCCAGTTCTTTCATTCAGCAAATATACAAGCAGAAGTGCCTGTCACTCCCAAGCCACTTCCGAGTCACTGAAAGGCTTAAGGTCCAACTCTAGTCTTACTGCT